ATTAGATGACAAAAGGAGTAAATTTTTAAAACAGGAAACTCATAAATGAGATTAATCAAAATAATGAGGAAGTAATGGTAAATTTAAATCATTTTAAATATAGGTTAATGTTCAATTTAAGAGAAAATTAATTTCTCAAATACAATTACTATTCTCCTTCCATTCTATTTGTTAATTGAAAAGATATGCTAGCATAACTAGAACAGAGAGAATAAAAATGTGAATTGTATGATAGTGAGAGTGAAAATAGGTGTAGGTTAAATATGGTCACATAAATTAACCTGACTTTTCAGAAAACATCCCAAAGATAATTGGAAACTATGGATACTAGACCTGTTCATATTAATATTCACAAAATTTATATTCAATAGTGAGGAATAGATTGGAGGAAGGTAAGACTGAAAACAATCACTTCAAAAACAGTTATTGCTATTAATGAACAAATCGATCTTATAAACTGGTACAGATAGAATGACCTGATTTTCAACGTACTTGGAAAGCTTTGTTAATTGCTGGATATTCATTGAGACATAAAAAGTACTAGAGGTGACTCTTGAGTCTCCAATTTCTTTAATTGTATTAGGGCTCAAAAATGATGCCCCAAAACATGATACTTTGCACTCCAAACTCAAAGCAGCTGGATGGCAGCGACTTCAGGAAACAACTCTGAAGTTAGGACATCTACAGAAAGACTGGATCTAACAAAGAGAAACACAATTGCTTTTAATCCTTTATTGAAATTTGGTTACCCATAAAGGATTAAGCACATAAGACAGAAGAAGTGACAGAAAATCAAACATGGCACCTGGAGCCTAGAAGAATTTTGTCCAGGGCCTTATCTGTTTAATAGGCACATTTCCTTCACTAAAAATAAAACACTCGCTGTTCAAAAGTCACCAAAAACACTTCCAACACCTGTTTCTCCCTTATTAAGAGGCTCCTTAAGCTCAGTCATCTGTTCTTTTTTAATGTGGACTATTTGTGTAGCTACTGCATGTATTAACATGTTTATGTGCCTTATTTCCTGTCAATATGTCTACCGTAAGATGATTCAGCAAACTCAATTATCAAAACTACTTGGGAAATTTGAATTTACCACAATGGCGTGTACCGGCGATGCTACATCCTGAGACAGAGAATAATGATGGGTCTGGCCTGATGCATACTCTTTAATATTTATTTAATTTTAAAGTTACATAAAATAAAAATACCACTTAAGGAGTTTTACATGAACTATAGAAATATTTAGATGGATACACACTAAGCAGATGTGAAATAGCACCATCAGAATAGATATGAACTCTTTTAAGGAAAAAAAATGCAACTTAATAAAAGAAATGAATTTAAGACAAAAACCTCAAGCATTTCTACAATGTAAAGCATGACATTACTATGGGAAGAAACTATTATGAAAGAGCAGAAAAGAAACAACTATTAAGTTACGTAACCATTTTTTCATTAAAAATTTGTGGCTCATAATATTGCACCATATAATATGTTAACAATTTTTGTACACACTGTTTCCTTATCACACCATCATGTCATATTTACATCTTCTCAAATAATTATTCTTTTAATATTTTTGGCAAATTCTAATTGTCTTAAAATATATAACAAATAATTGTAGGATATAGATGTCCTACTGTCCTATATAATTCTAGAACTGATTCCTCCTATTTACTAGCATGTAGGTAAACATAACCCTTCTCTTTCTATGCCATTCTTTACCTTTCCTGGTTTCCAATGAGAAATATAATTCACTGCATTATAAAATGTTATGAGATCAATGCTTTATCTTTTAAAAATAAATAAAAACGTGCAGTATTTGTCAATCTTTGGAAAGTTTCACCAAATTGAATATAGAGGAAACATACTTCAATAAAATAAAGGCTGTGTTTGACAAAGCCACAGCAAACAGGCAAAAATTAAAAGCATGCTCGATAAGGTATGAAAGTCCAAT